CAACAGTAAAAATTCAATGTGACAAAAATTGGCATGATTTTCTATATAAATATTTCCTGTATAAATCAATTCAAACTATAATCAGAACAGCTCTTGATGTGAAAGAAAATGTATCTAACTTTTACAATAACTTATGTGACGAAATTTACATTTCTTGCCCCTGCCCCCTATTTTGAAGAATCAGATTAAAGGACCAGTTAACTGAAAAATTTGTAGTCTCCAATTTGGCTTAGATTTAAATCAGCTGTGACAAACTGGTAAAGAATCGTATCGCCGAAAGAACCAACTCTCTAGCGTACTTGTAACGCGTGTTATTGCAATAATAAGCTGTGGCCTCGTGACGTCATAAAGTCCCTCAGTGCGCGCTTGCATAGCGTAATTTACATTACAAATGTTTATCATCGTCAATAAAACACGTGTAACTCACTCGAATTTTAGAATTATGACTATTATCCTAGTTCTCCAAAATCCTTATAGTTTTGGCTATCATCCTAACTAAAGGAATAGCTGATTTGATGTACAGTGCTCACGTCATGATTTTAAACAGTGATATAGGTTCTTGAACAGTGGCGGGTGAATGTACGGTTAGAAAGTTTCTGATATTACAGTTCTTATAAATCAAGAGGCTTGCATATAATGAACATATGTGATAATTTTGGATTGTTTTCATTGCTTAATTACACAAGCAGGGAGACTGTACCGATTATTTTTCCCCAGTCCATGAAAATCTAACGAATTTAGAAAGGATCTAGATAAGTAGGAGTTTGTTCAATTCCGAGAGCAATTATAGTTATAGCATAGCGAAATTTCTAACATTAATCCGCATGTGTCAGCCAGTACAGGAGACAATAAGTCTGGATACTTTACGGCCGTTCCTCTGGGACTATTAGCAGAAGTAGCTTCTATCAGAACAGTGCCGTGGGAACAGAATTCCCGCCAAAATACCCGGTCTACCAAATAGTAATACTGATGGGATCGGAGTGTACAGTGTGCGGTGTGTTTTGAATTAGACTTACGGCTTACCTAGTTGTTATCCTAATTGCATTATCATCGGTACATAACATAAATAAACTACTGGTAAGTTTAAATACCAAGTGCAAACGTGTTCAGTCAATCGACCCTCGAACAACTATAGAATTTCCAAGACCCTATTATTCTCTGGCCATATATTACGGCACGATCGATTGTTAGGTGGCTAAACGACCAACGTTAATCGATACAATTCTAAAACTATGAGCTAGCACTTTAATCTAAAAATACACTTTTTATATTACTCCTGATTTTTACATTTCACGTAAAACATTGTCGCCACAGGTTGATCATGGACACTAACAGCTTGATTTGAGATAAATGACTAATGAGTTTCTCTAAAGTTAACTCTAAAGTTGTGTAGTCCAGTCATTTATGGACATTTATGGAAATGAACCTGCAAATATTCAAATACTCACGAAACTTTGCACAGACCTTCCCGAAGGTATGAATAAACGATTTTCGTTTGGAGACATTTTTTGACCGTGGAGAAAACCCAGGAGGGCCACGCCCATATTGACCCAATAACGTAACCGACCCCTTGCTTCTGAAGGTCGTAGAGACTTCAAAATAGGCTTGAACGAAGCCGCATATGCATGTTTATATAGGAGTTATTGAGCAACACATGGCCTAAAATCCTTGCTTTTCGATAAATTCGCCAAAAACCATTTTGGGCGTGGTGCTGAGCCCATTTTCGATAGGATCGTGATATAGTCTTTAGAGAGGGTGCAAAAGAACCGCAATTAGCATATTAATATATGACTTACGAACAAACATATGCCTTAAAGTGCTTACTTTTTCATTTATTGGCGAAAAACTGATTTTCGGTTCCAGAAATCATGCAAAACTATGGATATCTAATAAATTGGGCTATGAAGGCCCTAAAGGTTTTTGAATGTGTGCAAATTGTGCAGAATGGCCATGTTTATATACAACTTATGAAGCAACATGTACCCTAAATTACTTACTTTTCGAGTTATTCGGGGAAAAACATTGTATTATGTCCATTTTCTACCTGTAAAATACAGTCTCACGAGCTCTTCTGCGCGCGCAAGGGACTTTATGACGTCATCGCCAAAATAATACAAACGCTATTTACACGCGTTAGAGAGCAGTTAGAGATTTAGGAATTTCGACACGTTGCTTAGTTTGCTATTTGTCACAATCTGTCAAAATATGAGGACAACTTTTTTTTCAGTTAACTGGTCCTTTAAAATATAATGTTACCTCACCATCATACGGCAACTTGGTCGTTTAGCTCCGGACAGTCTATGCAACGTCTATGCAACGTCCATGCAACAACAAAAGAACCGTCTATGCAACGTCTATGCAACGTCCCTGCACAATGAACACTCTATGCACACTCCCTGCACGGTCAGTCTATGCAACATCTACGCAACGTCTATGCAACGTCTCTGCAACGTCCCTGCACAGTACCATATGAACACCGGCTACTAGCCGGCTACTAGCCGGCTACTAGCCGGCTAGTAGCCACTTTTGTAATAACAGTTCCTCAACTTCACATTACCAACCGGCTACTAACCGGCACTTGAAAAGTGGTCACTAGCCGGCTACTAACCGGCTACTAGCCGGCTAGTGACCACCAAGTGGCTACTAACCGGCTACTAACCGGTCACTAGCCGGCTATTAGCCGAGCTCTAAAGCAGACCTACTAGTAGCCGGTTCCAAACCGGCTACTAGCCGGCACTTAGAAAGCGGTCACTAGCCGGCTACTAACCGGTTAGTAGCCGGTTAGTAGCCACTTGGTGGTTACTAGCCGGTTAGTAGCCGGTTAGTAGCCGGCTAGTAGCCGGTTTAGAACCGGCTACTAGTAGGTCTGCTTTAGAGCTCGGCTAATAGCCGGCTAGTGACCGCTTAGTAGCCGGTTAGTAGCCACTTGGTGGTCACTAGCCGGCTAGTAGCCGGTTAGTAGCCGGCTAGTGACCACTTTTCAAGTGCCGGTTAGTAGCCGGTTGTTAATGTGAAGTTGAGGAGCTGTTATTACAAAAGTGGCTACTAGCCGGCTAGTAGCCGGCTAGTAGCCGGTGTTCATATGGTACTGTGCAGGGACGTTGCATAGACGTTGCATAGACGTTGCATAGACTGACCGTGCAGGGAGTGTGCATAGAGTGTTCATTGTGCAGGGACGTTGCATAGACGTTGCATAGACGGTTCTTTTGTTGTTGCACGGACGTTGCATAGACGTTGCATAGACTGTCCGGAGCTAAACGACCAACTTCCCCCATCATACCTATGACGATAAATTAGTTATTTTGCCGACAAGGAGCAATTAATAGAGTTATAATTTGTTTTGTGACAAAATTGACATATTTTTACCATGTTGAGATGGTACATATAATTGTGCCAATGTTAACAAATTACTGCCACATAATAATTAATGTGACCAGTGAGCGGTGCGTGGTTGAAATAGTGTTGTTTGATCCATAGTGCTTAAGCTGGTAGTGGTATATCAATATTTGCCCAATTTTACACATGTTGAGATCAGAAATAACTATAAAATCGATTTGGAGAGAATTTTGATAGAGACCCCCCGGCCCCCTTAATGTACTTCAAGTTTTACAACTGTGACAGAAAGTTACAATTGTCAGTATTTTATAGAAGTAAAGAAAATCTGGTAGATCTTGCTCTCCTCTTTTAGAAAACGTCACAAAATCAATCCATAATCGAACCCCACACCGAAACAAGGTTCCGGTAAAGCAGCAGTCACAGTTTAAATTTATTGGTGATCTCCATCGTACCTAGAATGGGATGTGTAACTTGAATTTAAACGATCCACAGTTTTTACTTGCCAGAGCTTAGAGTTGATATCATATTTGATGATGAATCAATAATTTCGAATTATGTTGTACGTTTAGTTACATCTGATTGAAAGAGAAACAGAAAAACGAGGCGAATTGAATAATAATCTAGATATTTTGAAAAAATTTAAATTCCCGCAATCAGGAAGCTTTTCTCTCCGCAGGTGACGGTGAGTAGCTATAGGAGTCACTATGATGCAGTAACTGATGTGATTAGGGCATATTAATACAAAAGTCAGCCTCCTTTATCAAACTAATTATACAAGCCCTCTTAGAAACTCCTTTCGCTCTATTTCTTTTCTTGCATTGACCCTCATATATCTCATCGAGGCACCATTTCAAGTCTCCGCACCAACCTTTTCTCTTGCATTTTCTGAAATTATCCTCGCACTTCTGTTTCTCGCATTTTGCTGCTGCGACATTCAAAGTTTCAATCAATTTTTCATCAGCGCTTGGATCCTCATCTAAAGTACCCCAACCAGAATCGTCGTCTTCTTCGAATTCAGACTGCACCAGGAAGACGAGAGAGGAGACAAGGAGGATTAGTGTCAGAGTGCGCTTCATCGCCAAGTTGTAGAGAAGTGTAGACTGTAGAGTGCTGAGTTGAGGAAGAGTGAGGGCGTAGAGTCCAGTATCCAGGAGGAGTAGCAGAAAAGTGAGTGGAGTGTCTAGGTTGGGTGGGAATACACCTCAGGTCGCGAACTAAACAGTAAACAGACACTTCCCTGGGAGGTGTAAACAACTCTCTGGGAGTTGTAAACAATAAAAAGTAGTTCAGGTAACTCTAGGATAGCTGTCTTATTTTATTTCTTGTTAAACTACTACAAGTTTATGCACTAACCTCGGTGTTTTATTTTTGCTCCGATGGGAATGATCAATGTTTATGGGTTAAACGTTAGCCACGGACGGGTAGCTAAGTTGAGTAAACAATAGTTACCAGGGTGCTGCGTTGGTCACGTGTTAAAAGGTTTGACAATAAGCATGGCTTTATGTTACCATAGTAACAGTGTTATCAACAGGTAGCAATACACTAAAACATGGACCATGTCTTTAAATTCCCCACCACAAGTCTAGCTTAAAACTAACAATAGTAAGATAATATAATACAAGTTATAAAATAATATAGATATTATTTGATATGATGGATCTGACCTGTACATTTGTCCCATTACAGCGCTTTTAACGACTGGGGGGAGAAGTGTAGAATCTGTGTTCAGTACTGATACCTGTATTGTTTCTATATACTATGGTTATTGTTACTATTATATATGGTTGAAACTCTATCATGAAAAAGCAATCTTAATTTCATATTTTCATGATACATAATTTTAATAAATTAGTATTTACTAGATATCTTTATAACTATAAGAATAAGATGAACATATCCTTATGTACTTGTTACATCCACACTACACTATCATATTTATCATTGAAAATTGGTGAGTTAAATGATAAGTTGTGACGACATGACACATGTAAAAACTCAAGGAGTGCAAGAAAGTCTACACAGTTAGTTAACCTAACCATAGTTATGCAGTTTAACCATGCCAATAAAATAACACAGCATCAAATTAATAACCCAAATACCTGAATATTCTCCAACACATCTACAATCTCATCCCTGTCAAAGTTGAGATGAGCCCCGATCAGTCTCATCTTATCCTCTCTGGCAAGTGAGGGTTTGAACAGCAGTGTGTACAAGTAGTCCTCCTCGTGTAGCAGTCTGTGTATGATGCGTATTTCGTCTATCTGTCCTGTAGAGTTTATATCGTCACCATGGTGATACCAAGTCGTAACCATGGCGATACAAAGTACGAGATACATGGTCAGTTGACGACATGGTGATAACATGACGACGACATGGCGTTTTTATTTTTGCCCCGAAAACAGTTGTTAAGGGGGCCGGGGGGTCTTCATCAAAATTCTCACAAAATTGACTTTATAGTTGTTTCTGGTAGAAGGGAGTGATATCTACCAGCTGCTTTTGGTCCCATGGAAAAATATTGTTCCTAGCCGAAATTATCGCCGGTCCAAGGTCAGCGCTTATGTGTAATTGTATTGCGCGAGCGATTTTCAATCGCAACTTCTGAAAATCGAGTCTAAAAATCTATCTTCTCCTACATTTTTTGAGCAATCACCCTGAAACTTTCAGGATATATTCTAGGGACCATTTAAAAGAGATCGTTCAAGCCAAAATTTTGAGATAGGCCTTTAAACAAATTCAATTTTGAAAATCTTGAACCTCGTTTTTTTACGATTTTTTGAGGTCCAAGATTTTCAAAATTGAATGAAAATTGTTTAAAGGCCTATCTTAAAATTTTGGCTTTAACGATCTCTTCTAAATGGTCCCTAGAAAATATCCTAAAAGTCTCAGGGTGATTGCTCAAAAAATGTAGGAGATGATAGATTTCTAGACTCGATTTTCAGAATTTGCGATTGAAAATCGCTTGCGCAATACAATTAGACATAAGCGCTGACCTTAGACCGGCGATAATTTCGGCTAGGAACAATATTTTTCCATGGGACCAAAAGCAGCTGGTAGATATCACTCCCTTCTACTAGAAACAACTATAAAGTCAATTTCGAGAGAATTTTGATGAAGACCTCCCCGGCCCCCTTAACTGAAATAGAAATAAAACAAAACACCCTGGGTTTTTATCACAAAACATTTCTGAACATGTCTCCCGCTGTGGTCAAAAGCTTGACTAACCACTACAAAATATTTGTGTTTGAGTATTAATTACCCTTGAAGTACTGGTCCCCATCAGACCCCACAACTAACTCCTCACTGACCGGGCCCACATTAACAAACTCCTCACTCTCGACGTACTGTTTAGTTTCACCCATGTTGTGGTAGAGTCTGATGTTCTTATACTGCATATCGTACCTGTGATCATATAGTGGAGGTTATACCGTTAGCGAGGTGGAGGTTGCTATGGTTACTGTCGCAGTCAGGTACCACGGTTACTGATTGGTACTGCACGGTTACTGATTGGGACATAAGAATGAATTTGTGGTATCACGGTTACTGAACGGTACCTAATAACGAAGTAAAGCCAAGTGTCGAGAGTGACTTCTTCCTCAGATTCTACAGTAAACTCTGCGTACTCCCCAACCAGCTTAAGCTCTGAGAATAGGATTTATTTATCTACTTTATATACGAATATATTGTAAATTGTTACGGCTGAAAGTGAGAATCCAAAAATTTTCATCGTCAATCTCAGCTTTCGAAAATTTCACAGATAATAAAAAGTTCAACAATTACGACTTAATGTGCACATTATTTTACCAGAAGTTATGGAAACGCAAAGAGTCTGTAGGTTTGTCTGTTTGTTTTTACAAATAATAGGATAGCTTGTTCCGTTTTCTGGAGGTTGTGCGATCTTGAACCAAGCACTACAGGGGAGATTGGTCAAGATAGGGCCATTCCAAAGGCCAGGGTAGTAATTCAAATTCCTTATATTCTTAATATCATTATCATCAATCTGATACGAAACACGAGCATTATAATTGTTACTAAATGACTAGAATTACACAAGTGAAGATAAAAAGTGGATATTCTCCTAGCATATCTAATAACAAAACATACAATAATAAAAACCTGATCTGGAAGCTCCTACTGATGCCCAATCCAGACAACTCCCCTAATTTTATCACGTGACTATTCCCGTTCAGATTAGCAGCGTAGTTCTGCGGAGTAAGACACCGGGCGGCTGTATTAGCGAAGGTAACGTTCCACTGACCAAACGAGTAGAGACCTGCCGTTGTGAGGTCAGTGTTATTACTGTTGAATTGGAGGTTCGTAGTGAGATATCTTTTAAGGTCCATTAAAAAGATATTTGATATTTTCGTCGCTTTTGAGTTTTGACCCTTTCATAGAATGTTGTATGTTGGAACATGCTAAACTATTTCTTTTTACTCTTACAATTTTGTAAATCAGATTTAATAAACTTACCGATCCTGCCTCCTCGTATCCTCTTATCGTATAGGTCGCCAGTATCTACAACTGAAGTGACTGTGTCTACACTGTCTACTTGTTGTACTGTGTGTATAGAGAGGTGTATTCTACCAGTTGAGGGGTGGTGGTGTAGTCTCCATCTGGGTGGTAACCATGGTAACGGGGTGGTTATCATAGTAATAGGCTGGTTACCATATATGGTAAAGGGATGGTTATCATAGTAACTTATAACTACAAAGCTACATGGCTAGAACTAGAAGTACCCGACCTACCCCCAATAGTTAATCATATTCATTATTTCTTACTGAATTAGTTATACTACTGATATCGACACAAGATGCTACCAAAGCCTCTCTCACGCTACTAAAATTTGGATTTTTTTAAACGGGTCGTCAGCATTTAAACGTGGAGTGCCTTACCAGCATTTCTAAACGCTTTTTGATTCGAAAATCAAAGTGATTCGAAGCTTCTGAGTTCAGTTGGCCTTGCATATGTGAACCATGTGTGAACCACTCTGGCAGTGCTAAAAAGAATAACACGTGATACCGAGAGAGGGCTCACCGTAGCAGAGGGAGTGGTTTTGTTGAGTAAATGATATAAAATGAGCAAGGTTACTACTTATCCCGCGCGGAGTTCAGGTGGTCTTAGTATTGAAGTTTCCTCGCATAGCAGAAGAAAACTTACTTACTTTCATTGCTTGTGCGGCAATATTGGTTATTTTAACTCGTAATTTTTCTCTTTTCGCGCTTTAAAAATATTTCACTACTTCAGAGTACTTGAAAGAAAACTCAAGAATACATCGATTTAAGGAGTTTGTAAAATATAAAAAACATAAATAACTATCGGCTATTATCCAGAGTTCGGCATAAAACTACAGTCACCGCGATAACTGACAATGGTAGTTGGTACCCTACTTACTGCCTACTAGGCTATGGTTACCATGGTATCCCCTCCAGAACCAGCTAATTGTCACCATGGTCACTATTATTTCCAGATGATACTAAAAAGTTGTGATTATTCCTGACCCGTAAAGGTTGACCAGTTTGCAATACACCCTATTGACTCTGCGAGTGTGCAGGTACTTTTACTTGTTTATTTGTGCCAACACGAAGAGGTACAGGGGGTACAGTTACCTCTCCGTGCTCAATGTTATGGGTTCAACTGGAGCACAGTATAAACATATCCATCACTGATATGAACAAACCCTCAGGGATAATATGTTTTAATGGAGGCCAAATTGTGTATCTTATCAGCTCTGTTTGTTTTGTCTGTGCGAACAGCCTCAGTTTTAAAAGACACTAATCATCAGTGGATTGTTTACACATTGGAATCAGTCACTCCTCTAGGAGCAAAGAGTAGTGTTACAGCTCAACCTTTACAGGTTAAAATATTGTTAACATCAGCACTTCAGCAGACAGCTTGTATCAACTATAACAACTCATGAGGAGGGACCCTGCCAAGATATCTTGAATCTTATAAGCAGGGTAGTGGGCACCCTTCAGAACACATACTTTATAGTGAACTGTAGTCAATAGTACCAAACTAAGCAAGCTGTAGCGCGTTACTAGTAAAACTAGCAGTCCTTCTGTTCCTCATAATCCCCTTTCTCACACTTTGTCTCTTTCTCTTACCCTCTAGTTCCATGGCCAATTTGTCACTGTATTAAGGCCACAGATATATTTGATTTTTGGATCTCTTTAGCAGTTCGGATCTAAATGTTTCAAATGGTTTTGTTTCTTACAAAACAAGTTTACTGATTGACATATCCTCTATAATTTTGAGTTTACGAATTTATAAAATGCAAACTTTAAAGAAATCGTGTCTCAATTCTCTTTTCTTCTTTTTCAGTTAGACTTAGCTACTAGAACTTACAAAAGGTTTTCAAGTATTTAGAAATTTTTGGTTAATGTAACGATAATGATATAACTGGCTCCAAAGCGAGAAATGAGGTAACCAGAGTGCTGGATACAAAATTTAAAATGGTTACCTCATAATCTAGAGTTAGTGAGCAAACGTGAAACATCGATACATAGCAAACTTTAAATTTAAATGTGACGGGGAACATAAGTCCAATATTATAGAGGTGTAATGGATAAAAACCTAGGAGAAGTAATGTTTTAGCAAGTACAAAAATTCGAATTTAGAAGGCATAATAACTTTTAAGCATGGGATTTTATGAAATTTTTGCCTTTAATAATTTTATTTTACAAAGATAACTGCGAAACAAACACAAAACAGTAAAACACAGTAAACTATTGTTTAGTTGTAATGGCGACTCAAATATTTTGCGATATTAGCGATTATCAAAAAATGCGTTTAAAATGAGAATTGGTTTACCTCTTATAAAAAAAAGGTAAAATAGTCTACAGAACAATAGTTTGATGTTGTGGCAAAACCACTAAGAAAAAACAGCAAACTTATATTAAACATATAAGTTATTATTTGCATTTATTTGAAGTACGCCCCCGCCCAAATTTAATCCTCAAAACAATATACTGATTTGTTTGGCTCATCCTAAAATTTATGTAAATCAGTTTTGCGGGAACTCAGTTTACGCTAAGTAAACAGGGACAGTTACTGTTGACATATAATACCTAGAGTGGTGCGGTTGCCATATCCTCATCTATAGAAATAGTCTGATAAGATGTATAATAAGATCCTACGCTACAAGTAAAACTAGCAGCCTTCAGACACTTCATCTTTTTAAATTGTCTACTTTACTAGTAAAGTCTCGGAAGAATTGCCCTGAAGCTACTAGAACAAAAAGTTTCAAAAGACCGATATTATTAGAATTCCGAACATCTTAGTTTAAGAACCACTGTCTCTCAGAGTTAAATGATTAATAACGTGTCCTAGGAGCGAAAAGACCAGCCAACAGAGAGTGCCGATCATGCACAACGATGTTGTGGTGTTGATGGATGGGTCTTCCTGCTAGGCTCTTGTGACAGAACGAATGAGACCGAAGTAGCGGGATGAAGAAATGATACTGCCGGAAGTTGGAACATTTTTAGTTATAATTTACAGGTAAGTCGCCTTGAAAGGGAGTTAATACGTGGTCAGCTATGATATGAAACCCGTTATTTATTCCTGGATGAATGAATGTATCATTATATTATCGAGCCAAGAGATCCTAAAAAATGAACTTATAAATTAATAATCACTTTAATGGAAGGAGCTTAAAATTTGTCCCCATATCTAAGATACTATTTTATTTTAAAATAAAATCATCGCAGATACAGATAAATTATCAATAAACTCAGGGTATAACATTATCCTAACAGAATCACAAATTAATGTTTAGTTGTAACTACTTAGGCGACTAAACTTAAAAGCAAATAAAGAACAAAGGAAAAAATATTTAAGACTGGCGTAATTGATCCACGTCCGAGAGAAATATGCGTTACAAGCCATACTCCTGTTTTGCTATTACCGCTTGTACACAATTGCAAGTAAAACTAATGGAATACGTACAGGGAATCATTAGTTTTTAATGAAGATTAATGTTCAATATTGTAAAAAATGCAAACATTATATATAAACTTATATATAAGTATATATATATATATTTACATTTAAATGTAGCCAAGCAAAATTAATTCCCACTCGAAAACCATCTAGGAATCCCCACTATAAGGAATTTACGATTCAATTCAAACTAACAACTGTTAGTTGAACTACACTATACATTACCTCATAGGCGAGTAAACCGCTACCAGTCTATCCACAGCGATAGGAAGAACAGAGGACAAGTTAACTGTGAACAGATAGCTCCCTATCAGTGGGATGGCGGTGCACATTACTCCTTCATCTCTACCGAAGAAGTAGTCTGGGGAGAGAGCAGTTTTAGAGATCCTAACAAAAGTGGAACGCCACCTTCACCAGACACCATATGCGATCTTTTTAAGGAGAATGGATACTTTATGAAGAAATTTATGGAAGAAAATTTATGGAAGAAATTTATGGAAAAAATTTCTAAAATATGAGGGAGGGGATTTTTTAGACGTTTTGAACTTTATAAATGCATTTAAGCCCAACTTCCACTCCTCCCTTCCTCCGCAAGAGGTTAAACTGAGATCTAACCTCAACCTTTACTTACTAGGAGCGGTAAAAGCAACTCCCCACAATGAGAAGGCCAGATCACTGCAGGCTAAGTTGATGTAGGCTTGATGGTAGGACTTCTTATATCGGCCCTTGATACAGAACAGAGACACCAAACTAGCGTTTATCAGAACTGAACTACCTGCCGGAGTTGGAACATTTTCTTAGTTTATTTAATTTTAACAGGATAACCCAGTCTCCGCCCTTGAAAGGGAGCTTAATACTCTGATATAAGACTATATTATGGACCAGTTCCATTATTTCCTGGTATTGACTACTCTAACATGTTTAATACACCGGTAAATTCAGTTGTAATGCTTCCGAGAGAGTCCTTAAAACAGTTACAGTATTATATTACTTAAGTTATAATACACTTTACACTGAATGGAGCCTTACAACCTTTAGTAAAACCCTCGTATCTTATCAAAGATATTATTAGTACTATGGTTACTATGGTAATAAAATCACCCGGGTATTCAGCTGAAAGTTATAATGCAACTGCAAGGGTATTCTAGGACAATGTGAATCCTAGACAAAGGAATCCTAGACAAGAGGATCCTAGGACAATGTATTGAGTTTGTAAATAATTGATCTTTGAGGTGCAGATCTTAAATCTTTAAATTAAGTTTCTCAACAAATCGCAACTTTAATCATGGCTAAAATAAATATTCCTCACATACATGGTGAATTGATCAAAACGTACCGATGAGAAATAGTAGAGCGATACCAAGCCATCTCCAAGTTTGTCTACTCATACCGCCTTGAGCAGTAACCATGGCAACAGTACCAAACATTTCCCCAATGCTTGAATTACTCATCCTATAGGGAATGTATGTGAGGTAATTTGTAAATGAAGATTTAATGTTCTATATTCGATAAAAAAGTGCAAATCCATGATATGATGTCGACGGCTGTTCTCAAAAAATAAAATACTAGTTTAATTACCTGTTAGTAGAACTAGTTTGACTAACCGACTCTTTAGACACTAACTAATTAAACAAACAGCTAACTTATACATACCTAACAATCCAGACCCCGACTGACTCTAACTTGAAAACAAACTGAACACTTGTAACAGAACCGGAATCAATGATTCCGGGAATCATGGAAACACTGAGTTCCCAGAACTATGGTAACTGACAACCCAAGTTCTGGTTCACGCAACCATGAAGAGATATTTAGATTAATTATATTCTATTTACACGCTATGAATTGTGTTAGACTTTCTCCAGATCAGATTACGGACGCTTCACTTCACTTGCAATGGAATTGTAGGACAGGTACCGGCTCAGCTAATTTGACAGTTTAAAATAGGTGCTTATTTGACAGGTTCTAGATATATTTTAGTGCAAGTTGGATTTCTGCAGATCACAATTTGACTTTTGTGAGAAATATTTGGATTCGGTAGAAGGTGGTCATTAAGAATTCCCGACCATTTCTCTGCAATTTCTCAAATATGCATCGGAGAATGAGATTTCATCGAAATTATAGCTTCTCCCAGTGAATAGTATTAAAACTGTTAGGATTCTAATTAAAAACAAATTTATATAACTAGATCAAATACGCGTACCTACCGAATGAAATAAATATGTTGTAAGTCAATAACAAACGAGCTAGTAACTTCGGTATTGATTGAGAATCTTGGTATTTAAATTTGAATAGAGGCTTCACAAAGTTTTGAGGATTCAAAATGAATCAATACTAATTGTTAAATAAACTTGTACAAAACAATACTATTTGTTTTTAACTGATTCGAAAATCAGGGTCTCCAGTACTCCAGTACGGAGCAAGCAGAGTTCCGTGTGATAATCTAACAAAATAAGTCAGAAGTAGAATCATATAACATTACAATTCACGCATCAAGCGCGTTTTTGCCCAAGGGTATTCTATGAAATGAAATAAATTCCAAGTCAAGCGGTTATTGCGATACGATTAAAACTTTAAAACAATTCTCAAAATTTTCGAGTCAACAAGCTGAGCCACGGGAAAGCGCTAAAAGATTTCTTTTGCAACAAATAATCGCAGTAGTAATAAAAAATCAAAAAATGTGCTTTAAACCTTAAACCTTAAATAATAAAATAGTGAAAACAGAACTAGTCAAGAATAGCTATGAGTGCAAATAAATCGCACAGAAAAATGTTTGATCAAGAATTAGGTGCTATAGCATTTCTTAGGACATTAAAATATGAAACACACGTTTGCTAAAATTATTTGTTACATAGTAGTGTTGAAAGTTTTAAAATTTTAGTTATATATAGATTGTAGATATATGGCGATCCCACCCTTTCAGATGATAGTTCAGGCGTAAATAAAACTATTTGATAACTCAAAATCCCCGCAGATGTGAAGTTTGCTTCAACGTACATGCACTTTGTTGAAGTAACGTGATACTTCACACGTTGCTTAAACACCTGTTAGTTAGTGAGCCCCAAATTCGGTTGACATGAGAACACTGGTGCTACTGCTGCATTCCTAACGCATTCCTAAACTTAATTCTCAAGTTTCCACACCTTCTGGCACGTGCGAGTGGAGCAAGTGAGAGGGGCCAGATGTTCAGTTGTTAATCAAACTATTTCGGTATGAAAAACACCTAGTGTAAGGAGTACAAAATCCTACTCCTCGACAAAATTAAAACAGCGAGATTTAAAGTGTTGGTGATTCTGTGATCAATTTCGGAGAAACTATAACTCCTGGAAATCCGAAATATCAAGATTTATTTGCACCTCAACGGGTTCAGAGAGAGAAATTCTCTCTCTTTAACTGTGGAAAGAAGATGAATTAGAATTGGGGGAGAGAGAAATGTGCAGCAGCAGTTTGAAAGTTTAATTTCAAACAGTTCATTAATCTAGTTGACTTGGAGAGGTGGAGTGAAATATGTATCGTTTACATAATATGTTCAATATACTCAACGTTGTTGATTTCATATTCTCTCGAATATCCTGTACACCACTGACACTGCGACTAAAGGCACTAATGACAAATAAAACAATAACAAAGTAACAAAAATAGCCAATATTTCGGTACACCATATTCAACAATATACTCAAAGATATTTACTAAGAGCTTAATTACAGTATCTCTGATCTTGCACCTTTACGTCCGGTACAGTACGCAGCTTTATAGTCATTTTACTGATCCATTAATACCCAGATAAACGGACAACGGGACGAGAAAAGTAAAACCACCTACTAGCCGATTCAGAGAATAATAAAACGATACAGCAGACAGCTATCCTCTGTAACACAATTCAATAGTTCTCGAGAGTTGAGTACTCTTTTGTTGTTCCTTTAAGCAACAACAAAAAAGTTGCTTGTCATTAACTGATACTGATGTGGTTGATAAAAACTAATGCTATGATAGAACTTGCGTTAAACACAACGCTGCGTTGTAAGGGATGGCGAGCTTTGATATTTTAGCCTCAGTAGCCAATGAAAATACCCGATACCGCGACTAAAGTGACCAATAGGTTTTAAGGTGGTTTGGCAGATCCATGAATAACATCACGTGATCCATGAATAATATCACGTGATATACAAATAAAATTAGGTGGTAGGTCCACAGTATAATGGAATTCTACCCTGGAGAATGGTAGCTTAATCTAGATTGGGCGAGAAAGTGGTGTCTGGCAGCATAAAGTATAGCGTCCTGGAGGGGGGTTCTTAAAACATATACCTTATACGTCCTGGAGGGGGGTTCTTAAAACATATAGCTTATACGTCCTGGAGGGGGTTCTTAAAACATATAGCTTATACGTCCTGGAGGGGGGTTCTTAAAACATATAGCTTATACGTCCTGGAGGGGGGTTCTTAGAACATATAGCTTATACGTCCTGGAGGGGGGTTCTTAAAACATATAGCTTATACGTCCTGGAGGGGGTTCTTAAAACATATACCTTATACGGTGGAGAGTCAGGCTAAGGGCTGAGAAATGAGACATTCAACAAGTTTAATGGAGCACTGTCGAGCTAAGCAAATATTTAGCAAATATTTTTAATGGAGACTGTTGATTAGTTGAATATTCGAATGTTCTGTTTAGCTGAGTACTAGCTGGTTCATATATTTGCAAACCTTTTACCGGTCCACACGATCTAGTCCTAACTCAAGAGTAACTTTAGAAGCGTTACCAGTGGTGAAATAAATGAGTTGAATGAACGAGTGTACTTCATAGCTGCGGAGACCAGGTAACATTGGTCAATCAGAGTCCATGATTTATAGCAAGTGGAACACTAAATATTGTGTGCTAAACCCACTGAGATGATCGTTAAGATCAAGAAACGAACCCTTTACTTAGATACTGATACAGGAGTACAGCTACAGGGCATTACAACATTATTACGTGTTCTAAAGAAGGGATATATTTTAGTAATTTCGTTAGCCAGATTCACGGCAAGTTTGCGCAGTTTTTTGTATACTAGTATAGCCTGTGAAGATTTAAAAAAGGTGTTTCAACGATGCTTTGGATTGTCAAAATCAGCTTCAGGCAAGTATTTTCATAGCGAGTAATCACTTCGAAGTTCGAACGATAATATTGAATATTCATTAGAGTCACAATGTAACTACAGCCTTCGGACAACATAGAATTATAAGATGACCCCGACTCGAATTTAGAAATCTCACTCGGTCAGCTGCATCTTTAAAACTTACAACTACATACTCGAAGAAAAATACCGAACATTAGAACGAACCGATAATAAAGTACCGAATATGCGTAATATACCGAATCCGGACTATCTGAAACCCGTATCATACGTCTCAAGTAGTGAAACATAGCTTCAAGTAAATAACTTAATGATAAAGTTAAATAACTTTAATAAATGTTAATATAACATAAACTAACACAACACAACATCTATAACACAAAATAACGAGGTTTACTACACAATTACGGTTAGCGAGTACCAGGGTTATAAAAAGCAATATCCCCTGATAAGAGAAACCTTATCTAAGTACTCAGTACTCCTGATATAATATACACGGCCAGTTACAACATGTCTGATATACCCCTTACATAACCAGTCACTGAGTTGGTACTACGGTTACTATTGTAACCACCGTTATTATGCTTACTATCGGGCGTCTTTACTATGGTTACCATAGTTACCACTATAGATTACCACGAACATGAGAGATGCAGTGGGAAGCCTTAGCACTTGCTTAGCATACAAAAACTAGGAGAATTCGAATAATACATTTTAAAAGTTTCATTGTAAAATTTTCTTTAATTATAAATGTATAACTGCCAAGAAAACAGTTACATTTGAAAACCGGAGTAATATAAGCGTTGATAACAGCACGAAAAGCAAGCTGCTAATTATAACTTATTAAATTGGTAACCATGGGCGACAGCCTATTACTATGATAATTGGTGGTAACAGACTATTACTATGGTAACCAGATAAGCGTATGCTACTATGGTAACCAGGTAACCATATTATAACAGCTTGTTAAAACACGAGATGAGGAATACCGGCTCAGACACCCAAGAGATTTGGAGATTTATGGCGGACAGATAATATCTTAGTATAAAGACAGCGCGTCAATCGTTCATAAAAAAGCACTTTGGACTCTCCCAAAGAGATGTCTTGAGACGGAGCAATGGGAAATAGTACCATTTATGATAAAATGATAAGCTGATAGACATCAAAGAAATATAAAATAAGAATATCGAGGTCCGAGGAGACCGATCAGTGATCACATACTGATGGTTAACATGCGTGGTAAAGTTAAAGGTCACATATTACAGGGGAGGGGATCTGGGAGAGGAGGTTATACAGTAAATTGTAAAACCTCGCTAATGAATTTATCCAGAGAAAGTGAATAGAAAATGAAAAAAAGTGATTGATGAAGATGAACTGAGAAAAGCGGAATTGAAGTACAAGTGCTCAGGATCGTGAGGCTTTAAAATGCCCATTTCTACCGTCGATGAACACGGAGTTCCGTATTTGAACAATTAAATTGGAAATCAAATAACAAACGAAAACAAGCAAACGAACCCCATGCTACATTGGTTTGAACCCACATCACACAAATCTATATTTCGATCATTTAATACTTAAGTCATTTCTGAGCTTTTTGTCTTTGTTGTATGACAGAAATGAGCTTCTTGCAAGTTATTTCGATTGCATGAAGGTTTAGACAACTTTAGAACTATTTTACGAGAAATAAAATAAGTAATTTTAAATTTCACAAATTGGAATGCGCGCGTAGGCGCGCGCTGTCATGGTGGATATGAAATGATGTTTTTTTATTAGGCTGAAAACGTTCGGAGTATTAAATTTAAAATCTCAATATTGCCATAGTGTCGCGCGGATATGCTGATGTTCTGTTCAGTTTTATCAATCAGTGTTTACAGATCTATTTTGAAACCTGAGGAGTTCAGTTTTTTGTTCGCGTACTGCTGTAATATCATGCCCGTCCCAATCGAGTGATAAAATTAAAATAGAACAAATAGCTCCAGCCTCCAATCTACGATAGGATAAATTTCAAGAAAAGTTATCAAAAGTGTCAAGTTTTGTGTACAAGAAAAACCTGTAAGCCTGGTTGAAGTCCCATGTAACATGTTTAGGATCCTGATATATCAGGTTTGTGGTGATCTTGTTATTGGTCTCTGTCTTGGACGCTGTGGAATATCCTAAATTAAGTGGGTCCCAGACATTTTAGTAACTGTCAGTAATATTCTCTATGAAGTTTTTAAAAACTACAAAGAGCTCAAAATTACAGTTTCTATTTCAGGAACTGACAACAGAACGATCAACGACGCCCAAAACTCCTCAGGGACATAATATAGGGAATGCTATCGATCAAGTGTGCAAAACTTCGTCCTGTATTATTATATGAGTGTGGTTATATATAGTGTATGGTTTGAATATCTCGATATATTTTACTAGTCAAAAGGTATGAGACAGTTTATTAAGTTTTTCTATATCTCCATAGCAACGTAATTCTTACTTTCTTATCGCTTGAATATATTATCCTCATAACATCCTCATAACCAGAAAGTAGAAAGTCAATTCATAAAAACAGTGTCACCGAATAATGATCTAACCTTAACTTTACTTGTAACTATGGATACAAGACATTTAATGAGTTTAGAATTGAAGAAAATTCCTGTTCCTTTGACGCAACGCCGAAACTTCATTGGCATGAGATTTGAATATACTCGATTCTCACATTTCAGAAAGTTCTTGGGAAGAAGCTGATAACATTTTGGTTATCGATACTATGTTATCAACAAGCCCACTTCCTCAAATTGTAACAATGTTCCTAGGTATGTCGCAGAAGTAAAGGTGAACCCCACATCTTTATCAGACCACAGCTTGGTCGAAATTCAGCTTGGTTTTAATATGACTGGAAGAAAGAAGAACGAAACCAGCAAGATCGACCCAAACTCTTTCAGGGCAGTTGACTATCACAAAGCCGATTTTGTGGCAATCAGTGATTGCCTTCAGAAAGTCGACTGGCTGAAGCTCTGGGAACTCTGTGACGAGGACTTGAACGCTTTTCTGGAATTGTTCAAGCTAACAGTGCTCCAGATTACCTTGGAGTTCTCCCCAAAGAAAGAGAGTGCAGCGGAGATTACCTCAAGAAAGAGAAGAGGGAATAAGCACGTTTATGTCATGAAAAGAAGACGAAGGAAGATGAATGCTAGGATACGTGCATTACAGGAAATGAATCCTAGCTCGAGTTTAATCCCTAAACTGAAAACGGAGGTTTCACTGCTGTGTTACTCCATACAGGAAGGGACCCTTGAGAAACTGAACAAAAAAGAACTCCGGGCAGTCGATGCAATAAAGAAGAACCCCAAATACTTCTTTTCGTATGCCAAGCGTCTCCAGAAGACCAGATCTACGATCCCGGTGTTGAGAGATGAGACTGGGGCATTAGTGGACGACCCCAGTATCAAGGCAGAGTTACTTCAGAAGCAGTACCAGAAGGTATTTAGTAACCTTATGAGTGCCGATATTGATGAATGTATGAAGAGCCAAGGATTACCTCAGGGACTGGATTCCGGATTCAACGAGCTAAGCTTCACAAGAAAAGATATCATTGAAGCATTAGGAGAACTGGATCCCTATTCAGCCGCACCTGACGGAGAGATTCCTGCTAGGATACTCACAGCCTGCAAAGAACAACTTGCAGACCCGCTAACACTCCTCTGGCAGGAATCGTTCAGCAGTGGGTATATACCAGCGGAATTAAAGACCCAATATATCACCCCTATCTATAAGAAGGGGGACAGAACGGACCCAGCAAACTATAGACCAGTGTCTTTAACCTCGCACATCATAAAGACATTTGAGCGTGTAATCAGAAAAAACCTGGTTCGTCATTTGGAAGAGAACATGATGATCAATACGAACCAGCATGGGTTCAGAAAAAAGAGGAGTTGCATGACGCAGCTTCTCAGTCACATCGAACAGATCTACAAATCACTCAACAATGATGAAGAAGTTGATGTGATTTACCTCGACTTTGCCAAAGCTTTTGACAAGGTCGACCATGCAGTGCTGCTAGCCAAGCTTGGTCGATACGGAATTGGTGGTCAGGCTTTAAGGTGGATCAAAGAGTTTTTGCTAAACAGAAAACAAACAGTCGTTGTTGAAGGTCGCAAATCATCCTTCCAGCCAGTGGCAAGCGGGGTGCCACAAGGGACAGTCCTAGGACCGATCCTATTTATCCTGTACATCAACGATCTGTTGAACAGCATTAGCTATAGTAACGGATTCAGCTTTGCAGACGACACAAAGCTGATTGGGGCTATCCGAGGAATGAGTAGTGTGGAGTTACTGCAAGATGATCTCAACATAGTCATCGAGTGGTCACATGTTAACAACATGGAGCTACACGAACAGAAGTTTGAGGTTGTAAACTACCCCCTGAATGGATCAAAAGCTCTAAGAGAGCTCCCGTTCTACCCAGAGACTGTTGAGTATACTACACCAAAAGGACACGCAATATCACCACAGGAAACTGTCAGAGACCTTGGAGTGTATGTTAGCAGCAGTAGGTCATGGGGTCCTCATATTGAGAAGACAGTTCAAGGAGCTAGAAAAATGGCGGCTTGGACATTGAGTGCCTTTAGAGACCGGTCACAAGTAGTCATGCTGACTTTATACAAAAGCATGGTTCGCTCCAAGCTAGAGTACTGCTGTCCAGTCTGGAACCCTACAAAAGTCACAGAGATACAAAAGCTGGAGACTGTACAGAGATCCTTTACTAGAAAGATATCTGGCACTGGCTGCCGTGATCTCCAGTACTGGGACAGGCTGAAGAAGCTTAAGTTGATGTCCCTTCAGAGGCGGAGAGAGCGTTATTCTATTATTCATGTATGGAAAATTCTTAATGAACATGCTCCAAACGATACGGGCTTCGAGTTCAAGTCTCATCAAAGGCATGGTATTAAGGCAGAGATCCCAGCCATGAACAAAAACGCACAGTTGTCGGTAAGAACAGATTACGACAACAGCTTTAGAGTTAGAGCAGCTCAGCTCTTCAACGTGCTCCCATCGGAGCTCCGGAGTATCACATTGCTAGACAGTTTCAAAGTTGGTCTAGGCAGATTTATGGAACAGTACCCAGACACAACACCGGTTCCGGGATACACTCCGACAAACGATAACTCAATGCTGAGCTGGAGGAGGACGCACTCGATGCAGTTGTCCTGAGCACTCACCAAAACGTACCAAAACGTACGTACAGTGAAGATTTAACTTACCGGACCACCAGAGAATCTCCTTTCTGTTAGCTGCACCAGCTGTACTGTGTATCGTTACTGACTTTATCTGTAGACCTGACACGCGTGGTTGATAGTGTCAACATTGTTCAAAATCTCAAATCAAACATATTTAGATGGCAGAGTCAATTACCATAATCCCGATGACCCCACTCCTATTCCTCCTCGTGCAGTAACTAAGAACTCAAAGAACGACTGATAAAGCTACCAGAAGTTGCTCTTAGTTACTAGTAGTTTCATTAAGTTACCACGTCTTGTGAACATTTATTAATCCTGGTAGTAACCGATAGTTACCCTTGGTTACGCCTGATTACCCTTAGTAACCAAAAGTTACCCCTGATTACCACCAGCAACCAATATTTACCCTTAGTAACTAATAGTTACCCCTGGTATTAACCAACAGTTACCCCTAGTAACCAATAGTTACCCCTGGTTACCCCTAGTTACCGGTAGTTGCTCCATAGTAACAGTTATCCCATTTCCCCTCAGCGCAGTTGTTAAAAGTATGGTAATCATGTCTCCAGGTAGCGAGATAAAACCTCACTATCTTCTGACTCTGGTCTTGTTTCTTGTGAAGCTCCTGGTAACCGAATATAATCCCTGGGGAGGAATTAAAGTGAGATTTAGTGGCCGAGGGATAAGCGCTGGTTTTATGATATCTTGGATAATTTACGATTGAAAGAATGTCAACAAGCATTCCGTTACTTCTGGCATTCATTGTCAACTTGGAGTGTCTGATTCAATCTCACCTATAGTGCCCGTATCTATGGTAGGGTACCGTTCATTATCTTTAACGTAAAACGTGCCGTCAAACTGTAACTCTTCAAACCTGAATATTTTCATTTAACTCTGTGGTTAGTAACCAACGGTTACACTTACTACAGTTATATTGGACATCGAATATTCACATTTTCACAGCACTGTGTTACAATTACTACAGTTAGCGGACAGACCCACTTTCACCATACTAACATATGGAAAACATATCAAAGAGGGTGATAATAAGATATCCTTTTCGTAAATTCAATGATTGAGGAATTAGAATTCAATTTTCTTCATCTACAAAATATGTGAAAACAAGAGTAAAGGTGGTGAACTGGTTTTAGAAGAGCAGCTCCACAATTTTCAGCAAGGAAATTTCCAGAAGAAATCTCTAGAATGTACCGACCTGGTTTCTCCGAGCAGAGCTACAGGACTAGTTAGTTTGGCAGCACTTTCCTCGTACATTAGCGCTTCTAAATCCACATCATGTCCCTTAGACCGGACCCTCCACCGAATATCACCTGGCTCCCTGACAAACATTCCAATTACATTCCAATTACATTCCAATTACATTCCAATTACATTCCAATTACATTCCAAATACATTCTAATTAACGTTCCAATGTTACTATTTACAATACTTGTTAACTTTATTATTGAAAGTGATATTCCCAGAGGATGCTTTTAAAAATTATTATCTGATAGCCAAAATTTCTAAAGTAAAGTGAGTTACTCGACCTTAATAAGATACCAGTAAAGAAAGTCATAACGATGATAATATGATCTTGAACTAAAGTAAGTTACAGTAATATCACAATGTACCTGCACTAAAGTAAGTTACAATAATATCACAATGTACCTGCACTAAAGTAAGTTACAATAATATCACAATGTACCTGCACTAAAGTAAGTTACAATAATATCACAATGTACCTGCACTAAAGTAAGTTACAATAATATCACAATGTACCTGCACTAAAGTAAGTTACAATAATATCACAATGTACCTGCACTAAAGTAAGTTACAATAATAATATCACAATGTTACAATGTACCTAAAGGTACTAAGATCCATTAGCTGACTGGTAGCGAAGTTGAACTCGCTGACTTCCTTATCAAACGGACAAATATCCTCGACATCTGCAACTCCGTCTCCGTCAGCATCGGCATCATTTACCTGGGGTAACAATAAATGTAGTTGTCAGCATCGGCATCATTTACCTGGGGTAACATTAAATGTAGTTGTCAGCATCTGCATCATTTACCTGGGGTAACATTAAATGTAGTTGTCAGCATCGGCATCATTTACCTGGGGTAACATTAAATGTAGTTGTCAGCATCGGCATCATTTACCTGGGGTAACATTAAATGTAGTTGTCAGCATCGGCATCATTTACCTGGGGTAACATTAAATGTAGTTGTCAGCATCGGCATCATTTACCTGGGGTAACAATAAATGTAGTTGTCTGCATCGGCATCATTTACCTGGGGTAACATTAAATGTAGTTGTCAGCATCGGCATCATTTACCTGGGGTAACATTAAATGTAGTTGTCAGCATCGGCATCATTTACCTGGGGTAACATTAAATGTAGTTGTCAGCATCGGCATCATTTACCTGGGGTAACAATAAATGTAGTTATCAGCATCTGCATCATTTACCTGGGGTAACAATAAATGTAGTTGTCAGCATCTGCATCATTTACCTGGGGTAACAATAAATGTAGTTCTTTTTTGTGTTTTTTTTTTTCAAATTCTTTCCGGTAAGTTAAGGTGTAGCAAAATGGGATATGTTTTTTTAACTATCAACATACAATAACAAAGCGCGAGTTAATTAATTTGCAAACTTATATAAAATGCATAAGAAAAATTCAGTTATACTATGTTTGTACAAACAAACAAACAAACGAACATGTACTTAATTACAGTATACTACTACCACTAAATTACTACTACTACTCAGTTACCACAGTAGATCACAGTTGGTATCTTTATCAATTATCCCATTGTTTATGTCTATTTCTTTACCTAATAATCTTGTGAGCTGACAACTAATTCAATAAATTTTGGCATCGTTTTTCGGTGTTATTGTACAGACAGATCCGTCTGAAAAAATCGATCTGCCGACACACGAAGCTTTCAGAGGATTTTTGACGTTTTTGAGTCCCATTAGGTGCCCTTTATAGCTGACCAACTTTTCCAAACTTTTCCACGTGTCTTAAGGCCACTTTTTGCCACTTTACCACTTTTTACCACCTTTCTTGTTTGTCGAATATCTTTAGTTGTGAACATCGTAAAAGGATGCAGATCAATCAAGTGTGTTCATATTTTCAGGAAGAAAAACTTTTGTTGAAACAATTTTTACGTCAGATAATCAGTTAATTGGATAATTATCAATTAGCTAATTAGCAAAATTCTAAAAAATTTTTATTGGCTAAAAATGATCGGAATAGCTTAAAACACGGAGAAAAGTAGTTTTTAGAAAAACTTTGAACATTTTTCTCTTAATTTTTTTTTCGAGACTTAAAATTTCTGAAAATTCAAAATACTTTTTTCCGCCAAAAGTGATCAAATTGCATGAAACGCGAAGAAAAATGCTTTTCAAAAAAAATTAGTGAATTTTTCGTTTCAAGAATACCAATATAGTAGTCTCATATCATGAGCAATTCAAGTACCTGTTATGAGAGAACACTGCTGCTGAGAAAAATTTGGATTATGAGATTTAGTTTAGGAAGCACTGGGTCATTTTAAGGAAATCTATATATAGTGTATATATAGTGTATATATAGTGTATATATATATATTATATATTATACAGTAGTTATATGTTCTTTTGTTGTACCTTTGCATTAGTATTATAATTTTGGTGTTCAGACTTCAGTAATGTTTTAAAAAGTTTAGTAAATGTTGTTTTCGTAATTATATTTATTCGGGACGTTACAGAAGGAATTGATTTAATGTAGTTGGAGGAGTCCCAATTCTCCTCACGTCCATAAATGGAGTTTTCTTTTATCATATTTATAGTATACATTGTATAATATACTAGCTTACTTCGTTTTTCGAATTAGTGGGCGTGTTCCACATCTATCTCTCCAGTAACACGTAGCAGTATCAAAACAGCAGCTCGGGTAAATTATTAAACGGTAAGTCACGTGTCACAAAGGATATAATCGCAACATCCTGACGCTGTCTGTGTGTTGGGAGTGTATAAGTATTAAAGTATTAATTAAGTAGCAAGAGGCCATCTATATCATGTTCGTACTGTGATTACAGTCACACAAGGTATAATAGGGGTGAAAAGTTACGTGATAAAAGGAAGGCCACGTGATAAAAGGTCACGTGATAAAAGGAAGGCCACGTGATAAAAGGTCACGTGATAAAAGGAAGGCCACGTGATAAAAGGTCGCGTGATAAAAGGTCACGTGATAAAAGGAAGGCCACGTGATAAAAGGTCACGTGATAAAAGGAAGGCCACGTGATAAAAGGTCACGTGATAAAAGGAAGGCCACGTGATAAAAGGAAGGCCAGGCCACGTGATAAAAGGTCACGTGATAAAAGGAAGGCCACGTGATAAAAGGTCACGTGATAAAAGGAAGGTCACGTGATAAAAGGTCACGTGATAAAAGGAAGGCCACGTGATAAAAGGTCACGTGATAAAAGGAAGGCCACGTGATAAAAGGTCACGTGATAAAAGGAAGGCCACGTGATAAAAGGTCACGTGATAAAAGGAAGGCCACGTGATAAAAGGAAGGCCACGTGATAAAAGGTCACGTGATAAAAGGAAGGCCACGTGATAAAAGGTCACGTGATAAAAGGAAGGCCACGTGATAAAAGGTCACGTGATAAAAGGTCACGTGATAAAAGGAAGGCCACGTGATAAAAGGTCACGTGATAAAAGGAAGGCCACGTGATAAAAGGTCACGTGATAAAAGGAAGGCCACGTGATAAAAGGTCACGTGATAAAAGGAAGGCCACGTGATAAAAGGTCACGTGATAAAAGGTCGCGTGATAAAAGACGCGAGTAAGGTCTCATTGAACCAGAGGTATCAGGCAAATAGTGCGATTCTGCTCCTGCCTTAACACTAAATCGTATTATGTGCGGCAAATTTGGAGACAAAAAACCGCAATTAAACTGAAAAAAACTCTCAATCCTCATAGAAGGGTTTATGATCAGACTGGGGCTAGTTGAGCTGGTAATGACTGATAAGCATAAATGTGTAATGTGTAATGTGTAACAAACATGTGTATATAACCCAAAGTGACTAAAGTTACTCAATTTCAATCTGTTGAGGGATTGCGATTCAGCTTGACCAGTCATTCATTTGCCAAGATTCACCCTCTTTTGTTTTTTTCCGGGCCAGAAGAAAACTACCGACTGCCAAGGTATGATGCCAAGGCAGTCGAGACCTTTTATTGAGACCCGATATAATAATAATCTTTTGTATATTATATGTTTTTCCTGATTTTTGAAATAATATATATAATAAAAGATATTTCATTGTCTTTTTGGGGCCTTTCTTCCGGAGTTGTGACTTGTGAGCGTTCGTGGAAACTGGCCATAAATAGTTCCTGGCACGAATTGTATCACAGCTCGGGAATCGCTTACCAATGTTTGCTAATATTGTAAATTAGTTGCTAAATTTCTTTTCCTTTTGTATCTTAAGCACTTTTGTCAGAAAACGGCAGATCTAATTAGCACTGATTACCAAATGCAATTTGTATGTCACTGGCCGAGTTTTTCACCTTTTTTCGTGTTTTTGTTAACTTTTATGATGTTTTTCCGCGCGAAAATGTTGATATTATCTGTCATCGATTTTATAGTTTTATCAAAGTTTACCCTACTAGATCTATTAAATAATAATATTGCTATTATTTATCTTCGTCAATACATATTATTATACGCAAAATAGAAAATGCTTTTCTACACTACTGCAAAAAATCTGTTTCCAGATACCGCTGGAGAATGATATACAACGAATTTCTGCCATTTATAACACCATCCCAAAACAGCAATCCAACACCAGAATCATCTGATTTTCAATATGAAACTATCAAATCGAGCACCAACGAAAATATATCTGAAACAAACCGAAAACAATCATCAACAAAGCATAGACTATACGGGATAGGACTAATGGCCCTGACGAGCATCTTCGCCACCTTCAACGCATCAATAGCAAAATACCTGCAACACCTCCCAACTGGTGAGCTGGTGGTAATAGTGGGGCTCTACTCGCTTTGTGCTTCCTGTTTGGTCATCACTATGAGCGGGGTGTCTCTGTTTTACTTTCCTAATAAGAAGCTGGTCGCTGCTAGAGTTTTGGTGGGTACTGCTTCTTATGTTGCCAGAGTTTGGAGCTTCCAGATTCTCCCGTTAGGAGATGCCAGTGCGTTGGTTTCCACAGCTCCACTCTTCACAGGAGTTATAGCTAGAATATTCATCAAGGAAACACTGAGTTTGGTGGATATTCTCTCCATGCCGGTGGGGTTATGTGGTGTAGTTCTCATATCAAAGCCTGTGATCTTGTTTAAGACAGAGGAAGATCATGACCAGCCGCCGTGGTACAACTCCTTGGTACCTGTCTTCTCTGCTGTCACCCTAGCTATGATCAATGTAATGCAGAGGAAGCTAGGTGGATCAGTAGACAGTGTAATAATCTCATTTTACATTGTGGTGGCACAGCTGTGTGTTGGTACTGGATATGAGGCTGCTTTCTCTGGCAAATTCTTCGAACAGCTACCCAAATGCTTGGCTCCCAGAACTCTTCTTGTGCTCTCGGGGGTTTGTCAACTTGCTTACTTTGTCACAGCTAACTTGACGTTAAAGTACGAGAAAGCTACCACCTCAACTCTCTTTAGGAATGTTGATACTGCGCTGGCGTTCTTTGTACAAGCAATAGTGTTTGGGGTGTCTGTGGAGACATTTTCGGTGGTCGGAGTGCTTTTGATTATGTTGGGAACCGCTGGCCTTACTCTAGCTAAAATATGCAATTTTACCTGTGGTGTAGAGTTCTGATTTTTAATTTTTGGGGGAAGCTTTCCTTGTTACTATTTTGCACACTTTTAGACGGAGGCAAGAGCCAATAAATATTAAATAAGGTATGATAGGTATGTACGTGTTAACATGATGTTATGAGATGTTGAAATTATGATGATTTATGAGATTACTGAATACTGACGAATCTGGAAAAATAACAAAGTCAAAAGATTTTATAACGGCAACGCGTAACGTAACTGGCAAGCGCTCCCACCAGAATTTAGTAGCTTCTTAATCGTTGTAAACTCTTGCAGTTTTATGTACGAAAATAGGTGAAATCTTCATCTCAATGGTCTCATTATATTCGACCCCTAATAATAATATCTTCAATCTTGCCGAATTAAAAGCATGGAAAAGGACTCAATACATTAATGACAAGCCATTTACAATGACTAATAATAATTATAAATAAATAATATAATATATAAATAATAACGTACCATGTAGTGTGGCCATGACTTGGAGTCGTCACATATATCCCCCTTAAAGTCCTTGTCTTTATTCTCCTGACCAGGATTAGCTCTGTACACACAGTTATCTTGAGTGTTAGGATGGAAGTCTCCGTCTATATCATCGTCACAGCTGGCGAGAAAGTTGACAGTTAGTGTTATATTTAGTTACATGATACTTGTCCTTGTCTCTTCCAACCGGATATTATCCAACTATCAGTATTTCAATCATGAGACTAATAAACAGCGAACTACTCCATCATTTGATACTAAGTAATGGGTACTTTAATAGTGATAGTGATTAGTGACCACCACACCATAATTTGACTACTTGATAACTAGTTACTAGTTACCAGTTAGTAACTGGCAGTACTAACCTATCTCCTATTCCATCTCCGTCTGTATCCCTCTGAGCAGAATTAGACTCGTACATACAATTATCACATTTATCATCTACACCGTCGCCGTCACTATCTTTACCAGTGTTATCTGGAGTGGTATTATCAAGTTAACTCAAGGTAAAACCAAGGGGACTGCTGCCATGGCAAATGAGAGACTGTCGCCATGGTTACCAAGGTACTGAAACTGATGATGCGTGTTTATTCAAGAGTTTTACAGTTTTGAGGACCCTGTTGACGTGATGATTTTCAAGAAGTGAGTTTTACCTCACATGATGAGCAACTGGCTGAGTGACAAAACCACTTCAGACTTACAAATTTTTTGACAGTCCTGGATCTCCTTTTCAAGATCATTATCATTATCATTATTTCTTTATTCAGATTACAAGATACCAAAACGGTTATTTCTAACTCAGTAATTTCCCAGCCTCCACCGTTAGGCAAACTTTCTCCGTCAGAGCCGAACAAGTGCTCCAGATCACGGATTTGTTTTAAGATCTGGTTTCTACCAGTCTACTTTTAGGGTCGACAAACTAACTTCCCTGTAACTACCTCAACCGTTCAATCGTGCAGTAAATACTGCTCCACCTTTTTATTTTACGTCGGCTTCCTGGATGGATACTTCATAATTACTTGGATATCGCATGAACGATTCCACTTCATTTATACTATGTGTCTATGTTACCCGCGGTATATTGCGAATATCCAGACGATTTAACGTTAAAATATTGCTTGAAGCTGTTTAACAGATTTGAATTAATTTACGAATTCTAAATTTGTGACAGTCTTCATACCACAAATATTAGCCAATCTGAGACGGTCAGCGAGAGCTAACTTGTGCGTTATTCGAACTTAATATTGGGTAAAGGACTAGACAGGTATCTGGTATATCCGTTTTAAGCCTGCAAGAAATTAACTATTTATTTAAGCAAATTGAAGTAATTTTAGCTTTAGTCTGACGACTGAACTAAAGGGCTATTTAGCTGAAAGACTCGGTATTTGATTTAACGGCAGACAACTATAATTGGTAAGAGTGATCGTCGGTTTTAAGCAACACTCAATAGACATCCTTTGGTTTACAATTTACATTAAAATTGTGTTCAGAATAATCTTATTCAATGATCATGAAGAAAGAAAGAAAGAATTCCTCTGGGGAAACAAACTAAGATCGAACAGAGGGAATGGTTTAGAAAACCCGACAAGACTTTACGAAGAAGAAACAGCTAAAACTATGTAATATTATTACTAGTCCGAAGGAAACCTGGGCAGTATGCAAGAAGCCTGACCTAGTCCGCGGACCACCGCCGGACCAGTCTGCGGACCGAAACCTGTCGAAAATATTATGCTTGTTGGATGATGTATATTATATATATATATATATATTATATAACTTGTTTTATTCTATTCCACTTATTTTATTTACGGGATCATTCTTCCTGTCAGTGATGTAAATATATTGACAGCATCTCAATGTTTCTACCGTTTTAACAATTGAATTTTTTTTTCTTTAAATATTTGTTTCCGGGAAGATAAAACATATGGTCTAGGATCTGTATATTAAGAAAATCAATGAAATTAATAGAACATGATAAAAGCATTAAAAGAAGTAAAAAGATTGCGGCACAAGTTTGTTTTTGCTGACAATATGTTGAAAGCAAAGTTACTACGTAAATTTAGAGTCTTTTATATTCTCATCTTAGAAACACAATGACCCAAAACAAAACATTAAAACTCTGAAGAAGTATCTCATTTCTGATCATGTGCGAGCTCTAAGAACTGTAAGAATGAGACAAATATTGCTTTATATCTGGAGATCTCGAGCTCAGGATTTTAACTTGTTCTTTCGCCACTGGAGGGGTCTTGATCTCTTCTGTAGAATGAATTACTAGGTCTGACAGATGTCCCTGAAGGAAATTTAACTGTTTCAAGCTTGTTCGTCACTCTTCTGTGATAACTAAACTATTGACATTAATTGTAATGAGTTGACAAAACATTATTTATCATTACTAATTCATTAATTATGCTTAATTAATAATTATTACACATCTGCTATTACGCATAAATGTATTATTCCACAAATTTTCTTACTTCTTACCTCGAAATATCCTAGTAGAGACATGATGAGTAACGCTATCTACAACAGTTGAACGCCCATTTAGCTGAAACCACAAGAACTCTCTAAAGCTCAGAACCGTCAGACAGTAAATGTAAAAGTTGCTGATGGTATTAAAAGAGAGGCACACCCCTGATAATCTCAAGAAGTCTGTGTGGAAGAAACCTTGGCGGTCAGGGTAATTTGACTCTGCTATACGGTATATAGCATAAGGTAGGATTGATATACAGTACATGATAGCCGTGAACACTGCGGTCATCATTCCCTGCCACCGCTGGGTCCCTCCACATTTCTTGGAATGTTTTCTGGATTTTATGAGGTGGAAAAGCAGTACGACAGTAACTAATATTACTATGAGATTAGGAATTACCATGAAGGTGAAAAATTGGATGGGTTTTAGTAACTCCCATCGCTTGGACGAGAAATGATAACTGCACACACTAGTTCTACAGTCAAACCGGACATCTTTACTGTCCACAATAAGGAATATCGCAGGAACAGCCAGAGACAGAATCCAGAGGAACGCACAGCAAAAATTAGCTTTTCCTCTGGAGAGAGCACTACTGCGTAGAGGACGCTTCACTATGATGAGCTTACTAGATGTGAGAGCACAGATAAAGAGAAGACCTGCCAGACTGAAATAGTAGGTCCCATACGCGGTGAAGAAACACAGAGCATCACCCAGCATCCATCCATCCGCTACCATCGCTATAAACTTAGGGAGCACGTAGACGATCGAAACCATGAGGTCACTCACAGCTATGTGATGGATAACAGATGTTATAAAAGGATGCAGTTTGAGAGCTCTGTACTTGACACTGGCTACCAGGATGATAGTGTCCCCGATGAAGGAGGAGAGGAGCACGAAGAGGTAGTAGCTAGCCAGGGCGTATCTTTTAGAAGTTTCTATACCAAACTGGGATTTGTCGGAGTATTCTGATGGAGACATTGTTTGGGGTGGAATTTCGTGGTCACGTGACTTCCTGGTTAGTAGGGTTTTTAGAACTTTTTGGAATCAACTTTATTAAATTATTAATATGCAAAATCTCACCGGAGTTTCATTCAGCGATAGATGTAGACGAAATCTAAATTTTAAACTGTTTCAATGTACTAAAACTATCCGTCTTGACTGAGAGATGAAGGCAATTTTTTAGTTTATTTTAAAGATTAAAACGATCAAAAAACCCCGTGATGCCTCCAGTTAGGGCATCCAGAAACAAATTGAGAGAGAAAGCCAACTCTAGAAAAATAAAAACCTTTTCGATATAAATAAGTAAATAGGAAACGATCAAAAGCATACAAATTCTGGAAATAATCGTGAAGAATAAAATGGTTTGCAGTAAAAAAGAAATTGTTAATTTATAACAAAATGGTTGAAAATTGAATAAGGAATAAATAGATCACAAAATTAATTTTCTGAATATCTCGATGATATTATAATGTGGTTTGTGAACTTACTGCATTTCGCACATTGCGCAATGACAACAACTACCATAGTGGTTAACTTTATAGGCAACTTGATTTTAGGGGGCCGGGGGGGGTCTTCATCAAAATTATCTCAAAATTGATTTTATGGTCGTTTCTGATAGAGGGGAGAGATAACTATCAGCTGCTTTTGGTCCCATGGAAAAGTATTGTTCCTAGCCGAAATTATCGCTGGTCAAAGGTCAGCGCTCATGTGCAATTGTATTGCGCGAGCGATTTTCAATCGCGCGTTCTGAAATTAATCGAGTCTAAAAAGCTATCTTCTCCTACATTTTTTGAGCAATCACCCTGAAACTTTCAGGATATGTTCTAGGGATCATTTAGAAGAGAAGTATCGAGCCGAATTTTGAGATAGCTCAGATAGGCCTCAGAAAATTTTTAATTCGATTTTGAAATCTTGGACCTCATTTTTTGACGATTTTTCCAGGTCCAAGATTTTCAAAATCGAATAAAAAATGTTCTAAGGCCTATCTCAAAATTCGGATCGATTCTTCTCTTCTAAATGATCCCTAGAACATATCCTGAAAGTTTCAAGGTGATTGCTCAAACAATGTAGGAGAAGATAGATTTTTAGACTCGATTTTCAGGACGCGTGATAGAAAATCGCTCGCACAATACAATTACACATGAGCGCTGACCTTTGACCAGCGATAATTTCGGCTAGGAACAATAATTTTCCATGGGACTAAAAGCAGCTGATAGATATTACTCCCCTCTATCAGAAACAATTATAAAATCAATTTTGAGAGAATTTTCATGAAGACCCCCCCCCCCCCCCCCCCCCCCCCCGGCCCCCGTGAAGAATAAAATGGTTTGCAGTAAAAAAGAAATTGTTAATTTATAACAAAATGGTTGGAAATTGAATAAGGAATAAATAGATCACAAAATTATGTTTCTGAATATCTCGATGATATTATAATGTGGTTTGTGAACTTACTGCATTTCGCACATTGCGCAATCACAACAACTACCATAGTGGTTAACTTTATAAGCAACTTGATTAAATGTATTCTTAATGCATTATACTTAGCCTTTGATCTTTTGATTTAAAAAGAAAACCTATTTTAACTTTTGTGGCGTTCGAGCAGCAGTACTCAGCAACCTATAAGTAACAGCTTGGATAGTGGATTTTTGGCGGTTGTATTACAGTATTACGATACTGTGATGAAAGTGATCAGAATTCCATTAATAAAATGTTTTGTTTTGCTGCCTAGATTTCAGTCGAGTTACACTGTAACTCGAACGCAAGATCGAACGAAGAAAAGCGTGGTACAAAAAGTACTGAGTACATTATATTCGTCACGTAGGTAGGATTTCGACCATTTTAGACCCCTTCCTCTATAATATAAATAGCTGCTCTCTTCGCACAAAGCTACTAAAGTGTTGAAATAATATTAACGTAAACTTTTCCAACCCCCTTCTATGCTGGCTTACGTTATATATGGGAAAGACTGCAAAGAAAAGGCCAAGTGCTTCTCGCTTCGTATTATATA